GTAGAGGTGGGTTTTTAGCACACTGAAGACGAGAATGGCCCAGTGTATATTTTTAGGGTTTTGTGTTATTAAAGGTTAAAAGACTAAAAGCTGAAGTTTCTTCTCAGTGAGAGACTGTGTGGCTTATTACAGAATCATGGCCACTGTCTTCTTCTAGACAGACACGTGTTACCCATGCAGGACACTGTGGGTCCGTCGTCTCGATTATAATTTTGAGTTTTTTGCGTGAAATTTTCTTTTTCTTGAATTATATTGGTTTTGGGATTTATTAAACATTTAAATATGTAAATTACGACAAAAAGGTGTAAATTATTTCAATGAATGAGTCAACAGATTATATATTATATAAAATCGGATTGCCAACAAAGGAAGCAAAGAGCTTTAATTTTGACGTAAAGGGCTTCGAATTCAACTATACATAAATATGACTTGAAGACTTTTAACTAGAATCGATGTCACTACATGTAAACAGTTTTAACAACTTGAAATTTTTTAAAACAAACAAAAACGTGTTGTATTTTAACTTTATCACGTAAAGTATTAGTCATAGTTTAAAAAAACCGAAAGTTCGGAACTCTCTTTATCAAAAAAATAAAACCAAATTAATTTATTACATATTTCTTACAAGTTACAACAATACATGAACTCCCTGAATTTTTTTTTATATAGGTCAACAATTTCAAAGAAAAAAATTATATCTCAAGTTGTATGGAGAGAAACTCGAACCAGGGTATTTGGTGGATTATCTATCCTTAAGAAACTACTTCCTGTGTCCCAAATTATAAAATCTTTTACTTAAAAACACATAAATTAAGAAAACATGTTTTTTACAAAAGCAACATTTAATAACAAACTAAAACAATTAAAACAAAAAAAGAAAAGCAAAACGAGAGTGCAACCAACCAATTATTATTAAAACTTTTGAACTTCTTTAACCAAAATCTTTTGAATTATTTTTCAACTACAAATTTTTGAATTATTTTTCATAAAAATTTCAAAAAATCTAATAATTTGGAATAAAAACAAGACCCTATAACATTTTATAATTTGGGACAGAAGGAATACCATTTATGCAACAAAATTTTCATTATTTTCGTGTACAAAATTATATTTACCAGATCAATTGATCCACTATTTTTTCTTTTTGGGTCCGCCACAGCCAATCAGAAACAGGTTTTGTGATTTGTGAATATCAGACACGTTAACACACTACCATTATATAATTTCTCTTTCTAAAACTATACTTATTTCATGTAAATCATTTAGAAAAGCGAATTGGTTGAAAGAGGAGTAAGCCTAAACAAGTAAAATCGCATTATTAGTTTGCCAATAATGAAATCCTCATATTTATACAGTGTTCTCGGAATTTGGTCCACTATTTATTTTTAAGAGTATATGAATACACTAATATTCATATATCTTGTCTAAACTACTAACCCATACGTTCTTCGTATTTAATATTTTTAGCCAATTTAAATGGAGTGTACAACTTTAGAGCATCTCCGATAAAAAAATTTTAAAGAGTTTTTTTAAAGATTTCTAACCGAAAAATTAATAAAAAAAAAAAAATATTCTAAACAACACGAAATATATTCTAACGCATGGCTATACATCCAAACTAATTTAGTGTATCAGAATCTACACAAAGTATTGAATTTGCATTATGACATTCACGAACAAATATAAGTTATGTGGGTAACACCATAACCATCACTTTTGTTCCTGTTTTGGTGTACCGTACGACATAATCGGTAAAATCCAGTTAGACCAACAAAAAAAAATTGTAGCTTGTACCACATTTTTCCGATGTCAATCTTTTAATCAAGCATCTTCAATACCATATCCTCAAATATTGAGGTAAGAGAATTCACCTCCACCACATCAAGCACTTGAAGACCCCATTTTCTATTTTGAATTGGCCAGAACTATGGCAATTCACTTTGACAAAAATTCATTACTACAAGACAATGTTAATAAAGAAAAATCAGTCCCACATCAAGAGAAAATAGTATGCAACTTCTCATAAATAATTATAAATATAATAGTAAAAAACAATAAGAAATCGGACATAAACCGACATGATATCAAAACTATAAACTTTGTTTTCAAGTAAAACAAATCCTGAAATCTTCTCTAGAAATAGTGTAATATAATTGCCACAAAACCCAAGACATAATCGGAGGAAAATTTTCAAACCAAAGACGAAATTGAAAGAAAATATCAAGATCAAGACCAAGTAAATAATAATACCTTATGAGAACGAGATTTAAATACGAATCAGACTTTTATGGAGATTTTGAGCAGTAATTCGAATAAACGCCTCCATTTTCAATTGAACACAACGATCCTTTTCCTCTCTAAAAAACCTTAGGTAAATACTTACAAGTCTAGATCGATAGAATTGAATTTAGTATAGTGGACTGGTTTGGTTTTGTTTGGTTAAGAATTGACTTAGTTTAGGACAATTCAAATGGTTTCGGATTAAACTAACTGGGTCGGATATTTTTTTTTGTTGGTCTAACCGAATTTTACCGGTTATGTCGTGCGGAACACCAAAACCGGGATAAAAGTGATGGTTATGGTGCTAGTCCCATAACATGTGTTTGTTCGTGAATGTTATCATGCAAATTCAACACTTTGTGTAGATTTTGATACATTAATTTAGTTTGGATGTGTACCTATGCGTTGTAGTATATTTCGTGTAACTTAGAATAATTTTTTCATAAAATAACCAAAAGCATGAGAGAGAGTGAAGAGGGGTTTTTGCATAAGAAACTCTTCCATCTTTTTAAGAAACTCATTTAAGACTTGTCCATGTGTGATTAGTTTAAAATAATTTGAGTGATTTAAAATTTAAATAAATAACGAAAATTATTAAAATATTATATTCTAGAGACTCATACAGTTTTCACCCATTGTGGATGTTTTTATGGATAGATCTAACGAAATATTACATAGAACATCACACTATTTAAGTGTTTCATAGGCAGAGCCGAATATGAGATTATCGGGGTCCCATACGAAAAAAAAAATTAACGTTTAATTTAAATATTTTTTTCAAAAAATCTATTTCTTTTAAGAAAAATACATTTATGTTTACTTATTTGATAAAATTATGAAAAAATATACTCAAATTTTTTATCTTTTTGTCATATAATCTCATAAAATATCAAATTCCACAATTTTTTTTTTTGCCATCTCACTTAATCTTCATTTTATTCATCAAATAAACATGTTTTCAATGAATTAATACATAAATTAGATTATTATTATTTTTTTAAGTGGGGCTCCTAAAAATTGGAAACTCTATTCAAATATTTCAAAAAATGTTCTCAAATCCGGCTCTGTTCATAGAACATACTTCTTATGCTTATATCAACAACCTAACAATACCAGATCGATATTAATATCGTTCAGGGCATAGAAATGACTAAAAACAATTTCTGTAATATAATAAGAATTGATTTATTTTCAGGGATGAATTTAATGCTTGTGACCGAAGCAATAGGCCCAAACATAAGATTCTTTTGATTTTGCCTTCGATGCCACATGCAACTAATAAAGAGCTTTCACACTTTTATTTCTATTTTTGATGAGCCATCAAAGGATACTAACTTTCCATACATTTTGGCTTTTTGCTTCGAGAAAAAAAAAATTATTCCAAGAACATAAATCAAATTATTTCAGAGCATATCCTCTCCATGCATTAATACTGTTACATACATTCAAAATTATGTTTTTCTTTTGATTTGCATGGGTATATCTGTGTTTCTTATCTCTAACATTTTTTGTTCCTCAAGAATATACAATATCTTCTACTCCCTTTTGTTAAATATTATATCCTCATACTTAAACGACCAACTTTGATACCATCCCATTTCTTTTGTTAAATATTGCTTTTTGTTTGTTATGTCCAATAAATTCATATAAATCTAAAATTTATTTAATTTGTCTTATGTTCTATAATTTACACGAATATTGAAGATCAATTTTATATTTAAAAAATATTGAAACAAATAACATTTGCATATGTTTTGATCAATTTACAAATAAAATTTTTTAAACTGATAG